ACATGGATGAATGACAAAAGCATTATATTGAGTAAAGATTTCAGATACAAAAGAATATCTAGTATATGATTCAATTTATATACAGTTCCAGAATAGGCAAATATAGATAGATAGATAGATAGATAGATAGAAAACAAATTTTAAAGTAGTAGCCTAGCATGAGAGTGGGAGACTAGATTGACTGGAAAAGAGCAGGAAGGACTTTGTAGGGGTGATAGAAATGTTCTGTGTCTTGATAGGGGTGGTGGCTACAAGGTACATACATTTATGTATGTACATATAAATATATGTGTCTGTCTGGGAATAAAACTCATCAAACCCACATACTTAAAATCTATGCATTTAAAAGTGATACTAGACTATGATGATAGATTGGACATGGGTTATGGGTATAACGTTGAAAGTGAGGTCACGTATGAATTTTCTATTTCAGTCTTGAACTAATGCTGCTGTAGTACATTTAGATAGGAAGCAACCAGTGAAAAAAGGAGAAAGTTGGTAGGGAAAGTTTTGATGAACATTGGAAACCATTCCCTATGAATTCATGGTATGATATGTGTTAAAAAAAAAAAAGACCTCAAGACCGTAAAAATGTTTCTCTTAATTTAATAGAAGTGTGATGTCCCCTCACCCCCCCCCCAAATATTTAAAGCAAGCAAGAAAACAAACAAACAAGACCATTGTGAATTATAAAATCTAAGTAGAACTGATTTTGGGCAAATTATTCTGTGTAGAATTTTTCTGTTCAAATCAGTACAAAGTGAATTGGTTGAGCTGCTTTCTCTGCTTCACTTTTTTTTCACTGGCCTGGGATGGGGAGATTGGGATAGTAGGGTTTAAACAAACAAACAAACAAGCAAGCAAACAAAGTATAGTTTTTTGCTTGTATTCTGGTGATACTTCCATTAACTATAACTTCTTCTTTGATAACAAAAAGGTATAGTTTAAAGCTCTTTTATGCAGTACTTTGAAAATGTAGAATATTTTATTGATAGCAAGTCTATTATTCAGATTCTCAAACATAGTTTTTGCTCATGAATACCTTAACATGACTTAACATCTTCCTGAAACAGATTGGATACTGAACAGTCACAGATTAGGGAATTTATTTTTTTTTTTAATTTTTTTTTCAACGTTTATTTATTTTTTTGGGACAGAGTAGGGAATTTATTTTTTAAGCTAAGTCACTAAATTGGATCTGTTAAAGCTATCCAGAGTAATAAGGTGCTGTTAATATTTCCTAGAATAAATAAATAATTTCAGCATACTTAGCTTAATGTTAATGTCTTTATAAAAACATTCTCAGAGTAACTTAATGTTTAACATTGTATGATTTTATTTATGCAATACTTATCCATTGTATGCTTCCATCTGTTAATATTGTATTTATGTAATCCTCATATTTTTCACAATATTTATTACTGCAATCCCTGATTTGCAAATTCTTGACTTGATTTTCGTTTGATGCTTAGAGTTTTGCCATTTTCCCTGAATTCTGCTTCTCCTCACCGTGCCCTTGAACACAGTAGCTATTTGTGCTTATCTCTCCTCTTTAGTCTCTGACCATCTCCTTCCTCCTCCTCCTTAATGAGAAGTTGAATGTGTGCTATGTTCCATAATGTTTTCTAAATAAACAGCATGAATTACCTCATGTAATTTTTTCAGTGACCTTGTGAACTCTTGGAATTTGGGGACACAATGTTCCTAAGTGCTGAATACTGCTTTTATCAGACATCTGGATGTGTGAATCTCTAGGTCATGTCCAACATCAAGAGGTCAGTCATTTACCTAGAATTACATTCATTCAATTCACTAATTTAGGGGAAAAGGATGAAATATAAGAGGAAAGTAGAGTAGGTGATTATTGGGTTGCTCTTCCATAGGTAAGTAGCAGTTTCCAGAGTCATAATGATACTAAATTCTGGAAAAGGTATGACTCTGGGAATTTTTATCGGGTTTAAAGCCTAGGATACTAATCAAATTTGTTTGAAACCACCTAACACATAATAATCATTCATTCATTCACTCATTTATACATTCAAATTTCTTTCTGTGTGCATATACTCACACACATCAACACACACCTACATACAAATATGTAAAGCATATTAAGTGTCAGTTCTCCTGTTTTCTCAGAATTTCAGCTGAAGCTCCAAAGCTGAGAAAATAAGTAAGAAGTCCTCCCATAATCACAGGTGAAAGGGGGAAAATTAACATTTTCTGAGTACAGTAAAACCTTGGATTGTAACTTGTTCTTCAAGTATTCTGCAAGACTAGAAAACATTTCTAATAAATTTTGACTTGATAAACGAGCGATGTCTTGCAATACTATTAGCACGTGACAGCTAACCTCACATGGTCACAACTGAGCCAATGGTTCTTGAAATTCGCTTTGATATACAAGTGCTTTGGATTATAAGCATGCTTCTGGAACAAATTATGCACACCAACCAAAGTTTTATAACGTATTTTGTATGGCCAGCTATCTTAATTATGTTATTTCATGTACTTCCTTCAGAAGTTCTGAAAGATAAGTATTGTTATCTATGTTTTACACCTGAGAAAACAAATTTCAGGTTAAGTGACTTGCCAAAGACTCAAAACTACATTGAGAGCCAGATCTGATGAAATCCAAAATCTGTGCTCTAGTTTTTACAGGATGTTGCCTCCTCAAAGCCGCCATACGTCTTCCTAGGGATCTACCCTTTTAGGTGATGACATCCACCTGTCTATGTAGCTGTGTCTTACTGGGAGTGTGCACTTCATGATATCTGCCACTAAATAATTTTGATTCTAAGCTGAAGTGCATCAGAAGGAGTCTAGCTGAATGGGCCTGGGGGTAATAATGAGATGATATGTCAAAGATAGGTACACACTTTAAGTCGTTAGTCACAATCACCACACTCACAAATCCAATGACAGTGTATCTTTATTCTCATTTTCCAGAGCTATTCTTTATCAATGCAATCAATGATCTAGTTGATTCAGTGATACTAGCTTCATTCTCATTTTTGTGACTTTCTAGATTATGCAATGATAGGATATTTGAAAAGAAATATAATTTTGTAAAGACGGGACTTATTAAATGATTGTATTATTTTCTATGACTTACTTAAAGAGTGCAATGCTATTTGTAAGTAAAAAGAAATTCAAGAGAAGAGTATTTCATATATTTCAAAGAACTGGTATTAGCATTGAGAAAGCAAATAGCCTAAAGTGATATCCGAGGCACCGCCACTTCTTTTTCTCTGAAAAATAAGATAGGAGTATATTTTAATACCAGAGTGCTGATGCATAGGGACACTTGTACCCCAATGTTTACAGCAGCACTTTCAACAATAGCCATATTATGGAAAGAGCCTAAATGTCCATCAACTGATGAATGGATAAAGAAGATGTGGTTTATATATACAATGGAATACTACTTGGCAATGAGAAAGAATGAAATCTGGCAGTTTGTAGCAACGTGGATGGAACTGAAGAGTATTATGCTAAGTGAAATAAGTCAGTCAGAGGAAGAGAGATACCATATGTTTTTACTCATATGTGGATCTTGAGAAACTTTAACAGAAGACCATGGGGGAGGGGAAGGGGAAAAAAGTTACACAGAGGGATGGAGGCAAACCATAAGAGACTCTTAAATACTGAGACAAACTAAGGATTGATGGGGAGTGGGGAGAGGGGAAAATGGGTGATGGGCATTGAGGAGCGCACCTGTTGGGATGAGCACTGGGTGTTGTATGGAAACCAATTTGACAATAAATTGTATAAAAAGGGAGTATATTTTAATACCAATAGACTGTTTTATGTAATATTTTCTAGATATTTTCCAAAATGCTTAACAAAAAGTTAGAAAACTTAACCTCTGGCACTGTTGTCACCTAGAGTAAAGGTCACACTATACTGAAATCCTTTAGTATTTCTGATTAAATAACTTGAATTGAGTTGCATTGTACAAAATGTCACATTATAAAAGTGACTTTTCTAAAGAGGTGCTAAACTATTCAATTCTGGTTGGATTTTTGTAGATTTTTTTTCAACTGAAGAATGCTGAGTATTCATTTTCATAGAAGGAGGAATCAGAAAAGACTCTTAGCAGGGAGGAGATTTCAAAAAAACCTTTGCCTTTTACTTTTCCCTTGAGGCCAGATTGTTTGCTTTTTAGTGTCTGCTCCTTACTTCTTGGTGCCATTCCAGCTTGCCCTTCTATCAAACACTCATGAGCCTCGGCCAACCAAGCCCATTGGGACAGGTAATTAATTAAGGTTATATTTGATAGAAAAGTCATGGAATGGAATTTTTAATTTCCATGTGATTGTGCAATTTTTTTTTTAACCCTTGGAGACTTTATTTCATTCCAAGCCAACACAGATGTATTGGCAAAGTTACTTCTACCTTGCAAAGCAGAGTGATGATTTAGGAGAACTGATTCTATATTGTGTTTGCAGAATGTCTTTTACACATTTACTACCTATGTTTTCAGAGTTAATACCAAACATATGGCATAGGCATACATGATTCTCAAAAATTTATTTTTATTTTAAAAAACATTGCTAAAGTCCCCCAAATTATTAGCTTTGTAGGACTGTCTAAACACTAACTTCCCCCCTTTTGATAAGACCTCTTCATTAGTTCCCCTGACAGTTTTTTGTTTCTCTTTTAATTTAGGGTAAGTCATGGTATTTAATGCATGCCTCTTGGCAAATACTTACCAAAAACTCTGAACGATTAGGACACCATCTTATGGTTCCTTTTGGTAATCAGTATTGGCCTAGTGAGAAAAGGACATTCACAAGAAGTTCTTATTAAATAAAAATTAAATTGTATTCTAATTAATTGATTATGAATAATCAATTATTGGCCTCCCTATTCAAGGTAAAGACCACATATTTTACTATATCATTACCTCTCTCATTATTTCCATGACTAAGTTCTATAAACATTAACTTTATATTTTCTATTAGATAACAATTTCTTACATAAAATGGATCTTTGTTTACCTTCTTTTCCATCACCTGGGGGGTAATAGTTGGGTCTATAGCAGGAGCAAAATAATTTGTAGTGCTGGGTTTTTGTGAAGTAGAAGGAATGAAAAGTCCTCTGTTGGCATGCTTAAAGTTTATCATTTCTTTTTGTGCTCCTGCTGGCTATGAAGAATTAGAAAGAAAACTAAGTGGTTACCGGTTCAAGTATGAGGTCAAAATTGGGAAGAATATAAAGCAATAGGATTGAGATGCAAGGCAAAGAATTTTCTTGAGAAGTAAATGACTTCACTGGTTTCCTAGGTTATAATCTATCATAGAAACACTATAAATAAATACCAGCAAACATGGATGTCTCTTGATACCTGATTTTAAATGAGTGTACCTAGGAGTGTATCTTATATAGAGTAGTAAATATTTGGTAATCTGCATAAATTGAATCTTGATTGGCATAAGATTATGGGTGGAAAGAGGAATAATTGTTGATGGAAAAATAATAATAAAATTTTCATTAAAATGCACAATAGTGCGGGAACCTGTAGGTTGTCAGTTGCTGATTTCTGGTAGGTAGCATAGTGTGGTGAGGAATCTTACCATCACAACAGTTTCAGAAGCTGTGTCTGTGAAGGGATCTAAGGCTAGTTGCTGCTGGACTCCCGGTATAACCTGAAAAATTGGAAAGTTTTTAAAAAGCCTAAATTTTTCATCTATAAAATAGTGGTTTTACATTCAAGGCAATTAGCACACGTCTCAACTTCTTTAATTTCAGTTTCTTAAAAACAAACATAATCATTTAGATTCGAGAAAGAGAAAAGTAACTCGTGACATGGGACATACAACTCTGCTTGTGTTGTTAGGAGCTTGCTGGACATTCTCTGCTGGGCCCTGGTGTTCTGTTGAATATTAACAACCCTGCAGAATACCAACATCAGACAAGGTCATGTCTGAACATGATGAAGTACAACGAAAACAAGATCACTCTGTAATCTTGTGTAAAGCAAGGTCACCATGCTAGCCACAAAAATACCAGGTATCCTCATATCCTGGATAATCTGAGAAACTCTTCTTTTTTTATGAATCATAGCCTTTGCCTTGCTCTGTTGTTCTTATCTTCTAGGTAAGAATTGTTTAATTAACCAGTTGTAGAATTATCAATCATTTCCTGAGAATACCAAATTCAGAGTGAACCATTACTTCCTGAAGTCTCCCCAAAATCACCTGACAGAAGCCTAGAAGAGTCGCCTTCCTATTAAGACACCCACAGGGATGCCTGAGTGATTCAGTTGGTTAAGTGTCCAACTTTTGATCTCAGCTCAGGTCATGATCTCATGGTTTATGGCATGGATCCCCATGTAGGGCTCTGCACTGACAGCACAGAGCTTGGGGTTCTCTCCCCCTCCCTCTCTGCCCCATCCTGCTCATGTGCTCTCTTTCTCTCTCTCAAAATAAAGAAATAAACTTAAAAAAAGATTTATTAAGAAAAAAAGACACCCAGAGTTCCCCATGTGTGTCCTCCGCTGTTGCAATGAGTAGATAAATCTAATTTTGTTCAACTATGGTGGTGTTCCTGATGGGTTTCGGATGAAGGGCACTGATGGATTTAATAGGTCATGAAGCAAGTCATTTGAAAAGTTAGTTTTGTTTTTAATGAAAAATATGCATTACTTACAGGTTCTACTTGTACTGGAATATATCCAAATTGGGTATAGAATGGCATCTGTCAGATTTTTGGAAAATGTGTTAGATTTGTTGTATGATTTTGTCATAATTTTATAATAAATGACTTAAAATTATATATAATATTGTATTATATTATAATTATATTAAATACTTTTTTAATAAAAGTTCATATCTTCTAGGTGATAAAAATTATTGATAAATTACCAAGCATCTTTTTAATACTGTATTATTTCTAGCTTAAAATTTCCCCTTTCTCTCTAAATTAACACGTCTCAGAATTACTACCACAAGTCTCTTAAAGCATAATTTTCAGTTTTCTCTAATTTGGTTTTAGAGTGGTGATAAGCTACTAAAAATTTCCCCCATTCTAACTAAAAGAAATCTAGTTATGTATGTGATTAGAATTCCAAAATGTATTGGAATTCCAATTCCAAAATTAGAATTCCAAAAATGTATTGCAGGGCCACAAAGCTCAATATAAAGTATCTAATTGTATCTAGTGATCCTAGGTGCCGTCTGTCATGGGGGATATTTATTTATTTATTTTTTAATAATAGCCACATGTAAATATGACAAGAGGTATACTGGTAACTTTTAAAAAATTAGAAGATTTTTTCAAGATGATGTAACCTTTGGTCTCTGATTTTACTGAAGTCCACTCACTGACTTCGTTCTTTTTAAAATTCAGCTTTGAGCACTTCCATCTTAGTGATATGTTAGGAGAACGCACTATATCTTTTTGTCACCATCAGTCTAGGCTGTTGACTTTTGCAGTAAATATACTCAGATATTCTCTTCTCTGAAAATTTACTATAACTTCTCTATTCTCAGGAGGAACTAGTCAGATTACAATCAGATAGTAGTTACCTGCTCCTCAAATTGCTGCTGTCCTGTTTGTGGAGGTGACTGTGTGGCTGTCTGTTGAGGTTGTTCCCAAGGTAGGAGCATGTAGACTGGATAGTACTGAAACATCTATTTGTAAACAGAAAAGTACATAAGAGCTTCCATTAGATCCACATAGGTCTTTAAAAAAAGTCTTCTAATGTCAATATTGTTTTACAGCATATATATATATATATATATATATATATATGCATAAAGTAGTCCTTCTTTAAGCACATATATGCATATATGCATAAAGTAGTCCTTCTCAGACTTTAGAAATAACTCATATTACACATGATGCTGGACTTTAAGATTGCACTTAATAGAAGACCATGGGGGAGGGAAAGGAAAAAGAAAGTTAGAGAGGGAGAGACCCAAACCATAAGAGACTCTTGAAAACTGAGAACAAACTGAGGGTTGATGGGAGGTTGGAGGGAGGGGAGGGTTGCTGATGGGCATTGAGGAGGGCACCTGTGGGGATGAGCACTGGATGTTGTATGGAAACCAATTTGACAATAAATTTCATATTAAAAAAAAAAAAAAGACTGCTTGGTCAAACACATTAAGGAAGTAGTAAAATAACAAGATTTTCAAAAATGGCACCTTGGACCTTACATAAAAACTGTAGATTTTATATACAGACATCATGTACAAATTACTTTGCGAATATCTAAGAAGAGAATTGTTTAGCAGCATTTTCCATATTTTTTGAGAATCATTATTCCGCAGGATATGGTATTAGAAGTTCAATAATAAGGAACGAATTCTCAAGAATGTTTTGCCTTTAATAATTGCCATTTTGAGACAATCCCTATGCATTTTTAGAATATTGGACAACCCAGAAATAGACAAGGAAATGCTTTAACTGCAACTTTAACATGCCACACATTATCATGTATTGGCTTCCATTTATATCTTTGTGTGTCTACACATGCATATGTGTTTACAGAAAATGGGGACCTTAGTATGTACATAGAGTTTAGTATGCTGTTTTGTTTCCTTGCATAACTAAATAAGAGACAATAATAGATATAAGAGTTAAAAAACAACAACAAGTGTAGTTTGAGAAGTACATTTTATGCAGTGGTTCTTACTTCTGGCTATGAGTTAAAATCACCTATTTAGCATTTTAACAGATAATCATACTTGGGATCTACTCATCAGGTCTTGATTCATTAGGTGTGGGCAGGGTCCGGGCATTTGTAATTTTGAAAATTACAGAGGGTGGAGAGCCACTGGTTTAATGGTTAAAAGAAGGATGAAGAATTATATTCCCTGAAGAATTATATTCCCAGTCATCTATTTACTTCCATTAGGATTGGGAATTTAATCTCACTAAGACTTAGTTTCCTGATCCTTAAAATGAAGCAGTTTCACTTACCAAGTATAGAATGAGGTAATGTCTAGAAGTAACTTTTATTTTATGATGAGGGTGGGACAAAATTACATAATTATGATTACATGGGAGCCAAGTGGTGTAACTTTTGATGAAATGGTCAGTTTTGTGCTGGTGAATAATTTATCTATGTCCCTATTTCTTTGAACCTAGTTTATTAAAAAATTAATTAAACTAATCTTAAGAGGGTTTTTCATATTACTGTAATGATTATACTAGTTGCCATTCATTTTTTAAGATCTCTTATTTAATAGAAATCACCATTTGATTGTAATATGAAGTTAAATTGAAAATACACACAAGAACCTGGAAATATTTTGAGCAGAGTGCCATACTGCCAAATAACATGGTAAGCGTTTTTTATCTCTTCATCATATCATAATTTATCAATTTAACACATCTACCTCTAAAACAAAATTCAGGGTTGGAAAAAGTCAGCCTACAGTATTTTTTTAGTTCCCAAATGCCAGTACAAATGCCATGCAGAGGGAACGTGACTTACGGCTTGGTGAGCTCCTTTATTCCCAATACACTAATGCCCTGGAAACTCAGGAATCTCCTTAGCTGTTCTTCCTTCAGGAGTTATTATGTAAGCCTAAAATTAACAAACTGATGCAATCCCAGCAATGGTGGCACTAGATAGAGATAATTGTATAAGTTTCATAGCCCTGCTATAAGAGTCAGAGCTACAAATATAAAAGAAAGCATTAGGTGGAGAGTATATATAGCCATCTGTCTGTAGGAGTGACAGTATTCCATTTATTTACCTGTGCTTGCTCTTGAGGCATTTTGAAGGAGAACACATAGGGCATAACCTGCCGAAAAAAAGGTATAAAAAATGATACTTGACTTTTAAAAATATATTTTAAAAATATTTTTTAATGTTTATTTTTGAAAGAGACAGACAGAGTGCAAGCGGGGGAGGGGGAGAGAGAGAGAGGGAGACACAGAATCCAAAGCAAGCTCCAGGCTCTGAGCTATCAGCACAGAGCCTGATGGGTGCGAACTCACAAACCAGGAGATCATGACCTGAGCAGAAGTTGGATGCTTAACTGACTGAGCTAACCAGGTGCCCTTAAAGATATATTTTTTAGATGTTTACTTATTTATTTTGAGAGAGAGAGAGAAAGAGAGAGAGAGAGAGGATGCACACTTGTGAGCGGACACACATGAGCAGAGGAGGGGCATAGAGAGAGAGATTGAGAGAGAATCCCAAGCAGGCTCTGTGCTGTAGTGTAGAGCCAGATGCAGGACTCAATCCCACAAACCATGAGATCATGACCTGAGCCAGAATCAAGATTTAGATGTTTGAGGCTCCTGGGTAGCTAAGTCGGTTAGGTGGCCAACTTTGGCTTAGGTCATAATCTCACGCTTGGTGAGTTCGAGGCCTGCATCAGGCTCTGTGCTGACTGAAACTCAGAGCTTGCAGTCTGCTCTGGACTCTGTGTCTCTCTCTTTCTCTGCCCTATCCTGTTCACACTGTCTCTCTCTTTCTCTCTCAAAATGAATAAAACATTAAACAAAGTCAGATGCTTAACCAACTGAGTCACCCAGGCACCCATGTACTCGACTTTTTAACATAAAATTCCGGAGCTGTTTTTCTTAGACCTAGCCACTACATGTGTAATTTATATACAAGACTTCTGTGACAACAAAAGGGTATCTATTATGTGTATGTCATTAATGAAAATTGTTTCTTTTTTAAAGATGAAATTTCTCTAATTATCTTTTCTAAGCCTTGTTTTATCACTTTTGATTTGTGACTGTGATATAATAGCTGATTTAAATAGCTTTTTTTCATGTGAGAAATCAGAAAAGATAGGGAAGTACTTCCAGTGATGGTAGAGCAAATTATGAGAAAGAATTCTCTCTCAGTAACCCCTGTCTTATTTTAAAGAACTCCTGTCTTGTTTTTTGTTTGTTTGTTTGGATTTTGTTTTTAAGAGATAGAGAATGAGCAGGGGAGAGAGAGAGATCATGACCTGAGCTGGAATCAAGAGTCAGACGTTTAATTGTCTGAGCCACACAGGCTCCCTGCTCCTGTCTTATTGTAAAGCTGGTTCATAATTCATTTTCACATTCAAAGTGAGTTACCTCTCCAAAGAATAAGATGGGAGAGGCTCTACTTACATGATTAGAGCCCTGTTGGGTCTGTGGTGATGTTTGAGGCTGTGAGGGGTCCAGCTGTCCCACCTGAGTTCCCTGGGCAAAACTGACCCATCCTGGGAAAGGTGTCTGATTTGGGAACAGTCCAGCCAACCGGTCAAAAGCTGATAAAGAGAATTGGGAGAGCCCTGGAATTTGAGCTTGCTGCTGCTGTTGTAGAATCCCAGAGAAAGGAGGAATCCATGAATTAAATGGGCCCTGGGAGGACATGAAAGAAAGGAAGAATTTCTCTTTCATTTCAGAAAGAATTTAAAATCAGTCCTGAGCAAGAAAAGGACAAAATGTAAACGATTTCTGCAATTCTACTGCAGCATTATAAAAAAGGACAGCATTTTAGGACATTATGAGCTGTGCAAATAGCATGACCAATGCTAAATTCCCAGAGATCATAAAAAATATGGGGCAGAGTGAGGTGGATGAAGGGTATGGTTTCTGCAGTTGCCAGACTGGTTGTAAATCTTCTTCTTCTTCAACTGAGTATGACTTTGTGTAAATAGTTAATTTAACTATCTCATAGTTGTGAGAATTTGTGTCTGGCATGTGTCAAATTCTCAGTAAATAAATCTTAATCAGATTACAGCTTTTACTTTTGTCTTCAAACAAAGGTCATTAGAATATATGGGATGAATCCATAACCTTAATAAGTGAGATTTCAGAAATGAAATCAGAAAACATTTTGTCCTCATACAAACTACTGTAAAAAAATAAGTCATAGGCAAATCTTCTTAGAATAATCATAGAGGTACCTGAAACTGTAGTGGCTGAAGCTGAGCAGTATTAAGATTCAGAAGTAACTAGAAAAGGAAAGATAATATGAAAACCAGATTATTACACATGCTAAAACGATTAAGAACGATGTTTACTACAAATAAAGAACAAGTCAGAGCTGACTGATCCGTTTCCTGCTAGTGGTGTTTTCTCACTAAGCTTATGCTAAATTACTGTGATTAGAGATTAGGATTTAACCACCTCTCCCCTGCTGTGTATAAACTTGCAAAACTTCAGCCCATTCCAGTGGGTTAGCCACTCACTTTATGCTCTTAAACACCTATACACATCTGTATTAGGTGCTATTAGAATAAAAATATATATAAGATACTGTCTCTGCCTTTAAAGAGTTTACTGTCAAACAGGGGAGCAAAATGATATTCTAGAAATAACCTGGTACACCCAATAAACATCAGTATTGGAAATATATTTGGATGTAAGAGCTAATGGATAGGCATGCAGGGTAAATTAATGAAGGCTTTTATCTCTACTCTACTGGGTTTCCATAGAAACAAACAAACAAAATGGAGAGATTGTTGTAAGTATTTCAACTAACCTCATTGCTGTTGCTTGCAGACATAAGGCGCTGTGGGATAAGCTAAAAAATAAACAACAAACAAATGGTGAAAGAAGGATTTGTTAAAGGTTCCCCACAATGGTTTTAGTTATACCATAAGATCACTTACTGGGGCTGACATTGTGGCTCCCAGAAGCCCAAGAAGAATTATAGTTTTCATTTTCAGATGAAATAGCTAGAAAATAAGTTGTAAAATTGACCTTTAAAGAGAACCTCTGTGTAAAAATCATGATAACAATAATTTGTTAGTATTGTTCCATCAGAGGAGTGGTTGGGTGAATTCAATAGTATTTACTTATATATTAGGATTTAAAATAAAAAAGGCATACTTATAAATATCTATAACAGAACTTATTCTTTTTCTCAGAGCAGCTCTTTATAAAAACCAGAATTGTTTGTTTCTCCTCTTAGCTTGACCAAATAGTTCATTTGGTGGCATGTGATGTAGTTGAATGAGTTAAAGAACAAGGTGGCCTCCTCCCTTGTGATGTTTTGTACTTAAGGGGATGGGTCCTTCTGATCATGAGAGGCCCACACTAGGTCTTTATGATAAAGACAATTTTAATGTCTGTTTAATGTAGTAGTAAAAATACTACAATAAAGCTCTGACAATAGCAGTCTAATAACAGATAAAAGTTCATTTAAAAATCTAATGGCATTAAAGTACCTTAAAACTAGGCAATTGAGTCAATATTTTTCTAATTTGGGGAAAGATTATCAAATAAAACTGTAATATTGATTTATAGTGTAACTCATGGAAGCATATTATATCTTGTCCTCCAGATATAAAAACTCCTGCCCTAATTCAAATTACTGACCTACATAAGCATTTGGGGTGACCCTGGTAGTTTATTCTACAGGGGTTGACTGATTTGGGCCCTTAAAATTATGAAAGCAAATATTTTGGTATCTTACCTTAATCCTTTGCCTAAGAAGAGAAATCTAAACCCATGCAAGATCTGTGTTCTTTTTATCTTTCAGCTCTGCTGCTTGAAGCTTCTCTTAAATTTAAAAACCCATCTTTAGAAAAGAATGACCAATCATTTTTTAAAGGGACTAGTGATTTAGTGGGTTTCAGACAATGGCTTAGCTAATAACCACTTTCCTAATCATCAAGGTAGTACATGGGATTCCCACACTTTTAGTAATGTCCTTAAATTATCCTCTGACAAATGTTTCCCTGTGATCATTCCTAGCTTCTGCTTTGGTTATGACTACATCTTCTAGAATAATTTCATTCTGCTCCATTTATCATCTTAAAATGAATACAGTAATAGAGTAGCCTTTAGGCCTTTATTCAAGGATTAATGGGTGATTAATTTTTATTTCAAGAGTAAAATACAGAATTACTAGATGTAAGAGGTCTAAAAGATAAAAATCCAAAACCTACTTAGAGGCAGTTAAGATTCTCTGGTTCTTCAGTGTTGGACTGAGTAAATATGAACTAATTTTATTTAGGTTCAACCTTGAAAATATCAGTATATCTCCATTTACCTACAGAATGAAATCCTAAAATCATTACTAATTTCTATGTATCTATGACATATCTATGACCCATGTGATCATGTTTCTTGGAATAAGTAATTGAATAAATATGAAGCATGATGGCCTACCTTTTAAAAATAAATGGTGAATGTTTTGTGTTTTAAAACATCCCTTTTGCTAAATATGATTTTAGCATTCAAAATACAACTATTATGATCCACACTTCATTGTTACTTAAATTTTCTTCATAATGTGTTTTGCATTTGTCTTGTTTTTCTTTGCTGTTAGTATTGACCCTCTTCTAGTAGACAGTCCAAGATCATAAGCGTTGCCATAATGTATTATCAGTTAATTTCCATTGGAAGAGTTCTTTTGCTAACTTAATCTTGAATAACTAATGGTAGCTATCATGCAGGAAAACAACATTATTACCTGTCAATGAATTTGTCTTTCTTAGCAGGATTAGACACTTCTTGAACTTGCATGGTTCATTAATACTGAAAAATATGCCATTTTTTATAGAGCCAAAAAAAAAAAGAAAAGCTACAAGGGAAAAAAATAGTAAAGATAACAAGACCCCTTCCTTTACTAAAGCAGAGAAGCCACAACTAGGATTTTCTATCTGTTAGAAAGGAACTTTCCCAAGATTTACAAAAGTTTCCTTTTAGATTAGCCAAATATTTAGGCTGCCCCAGATGTTGATGCAGATTTAACTAGAGCTTGGTGGTTAATGTAACCAGTTGTTGCCTGGAAAATCCAGTATTTGGGTGGGTGGGTGAACTAGATAGATGGCTCTAAATTGTCTGATGACATACTTCCAATTAATGACCTTGGTCTATTCTGAATATTGTCAAATTAAATTTAGTACACCATTAAGGTCTCAGTCTCAGAGGTTTTCTGTTGCATTGTTGGGGTCTTAGGCAGCTAACACTACTACCGAGCCGGAAAGTTGTCAGGGCCCAGCACTGGAAAAGTTAGGGACTGTATCACAGAGCCAAAATATAGTCAATGTAAAAATCAGCTTGATGATGAATAGTTTCAACTAGCTACATTCCTTAAATGTGAAGGCAGTTGGAAGGAAATTTCTGTTATTGTTTTCTTTTTGTTTTTATTTTCCATACTTGAGTATTCTAAAGCAAAGCAGTTGAAACTCTCCAGTTATACAACAAATTGAAGTAGAAAAGAGCAGGTTATGCTTTCCTACCTGATACCTCCCTATGTCATTGGTGGCAAAGTTATCTCTGGGCAGGAGGGAAAGTAGCAAGGGGTTCTCATTTAATTCTTACCACACCATAGTGTGGATATTGTCTGTGTCTCTTTTTTACATTCAGCTATGTTGAACTTACTCATTTTTTTTGGTCCATTCACCCAGTAGCTATTCCATTGACTTTGTGAAATAAATAGGTTCTTTTATTCAAAGAAGAAAAAGGTGATACACATCCAGAGCAATGTCAGTCTTTATGGATTAAGGTACAGGGACCTTAAGTTGAGGAAACCTTACAATGGGGATATCCTGAGCCAGAGACTGTGACTGTGACTTCATTACTTTGTTTTGGTTTGATGACCAGAACACCAGGTAGCCCTTTATTCAAATAAAAGTACAAAAACACACATCAGTGCCAAGTACATATGACTGTTGGATTATGTACCATTAAAATGATCCGTACCCTTACTCTGTTCCAATAACGTAGATGGTGAAGCACAAATAACAATGGCTTATATATTAGTCCTTTCAAAATGTTATCTCTGCTTTCCTTTCCCTTCAAGCAACCTGAAAAATCAGTTAAGAGGTTGACAGAGAACCACGGTGAAGTAAATCAGTATTCTGCACATCAAGAGAATAGAGTTTGAATTTTAGCACTGCTTATAATAAAATAATTTTCTGGTATTTGAGTTATAGTTTTCTAGGAGCTTCTAATGACATATCAAGGTAAACAGGATACTTATATCATTGCCACATTTCAGTGAGAAAGCTGAGGCACAAGGTTCAGCAACTTCATTCATTCATTTATTCATACAACACACATTTATGTATAACTTCTATATCCATGTCCTTATTGGGTTTTGAGAACTTAGTACTAATAAAACAGACATGATTTCTGCTTCATGGAAATTGTTAGTTTTCTACTATCAAAGGATTACCAGAATAATGGCCAGTATACTGGTTTTTTGATTATTAATCAAGTAGTCTTTCCAAATCACCAAGCTGCCTAACCAGGGAGAAGAGAGACAGCACAATTCCAAAGATAATTAACAACAACAATAACAAAATAATAAATGATAAAAGTGAGTATTTTCATTTATTGCCAGAGTTGAATAATGAATCTCAGTTCAATCAAGGTAACTGGTGACTCTAACAATTACTTCATTATTAATTTGTACAATAAATACAGAGGATAAGCAAGCTGTCAATCATATCTTTTCTATTACATAGTAGAGTGCTTACTTTTAACTTCTATGAGACTTTACTGAAGTGCCCCCTTCTGTTTAATGGTGTACATTACTGGATATTAATCATCACCTGCCCACTATGCCAATACATTCTAGCTTAATGGCTTTGGCTTGATAATATGAGTCTAAATTTATTATATTTCAGATTTATAGGTACATGCATGTGAATTATGTCTATAAAATATAATTTCCAGGATTAACTTGTTCAGGAATAGAGATATTAAGAAAAATAAGGTTATATATACCTCCTCTTTTCACAAAAGGGCCCAGGAGGTTCAGAGTAATTGAGAAGCCACTATACAATTAAGTTTGGGCTACAAAACTATCAACTGACTGTGAGTCCATAAAGTGTAGCCTGTAGAGCATTCTGTGGGAGGCACATTGTCTCAAACACACCCCATCTTGGTTTGGGCATAATCAACACTCACCTTTTCTGAAAAGCACTTCTTTTGTCCTCTAACCTGAAATGGTTTCTTTTTCTGCTGAACTACTATCATATTTATTTGTGTCCTTTGCTCTTTGTAAATTTCAGACAACTACTTTCATGACCCATGTGTCTGTTTCTTCTTTTTGTCTGGCACTAAACTGGTTTCTGTATGATAACTTCCCAGAAACAAACTCCATTTTAATAAAAATATTGTAGTTCTAGTAACTTGATTTAAGATTAGGGTCTTTGGGTGATTTCTGGCTTCCCCCCCCCCCTGACATCTAGCCAAGGCCACACTGGGGTCATGGGGCTTCTTGTGAATGTTGTGGTCAAGGGCAGTAGTCAGACCAGTCTGACTTAATTCTCCCTCAGAATTGTGTTGATTGTCTTCTTTTTCTATTTTGTTACATTAAGAGTGTATCTCCTTAGCAAGATTTTATGCTTTCTGACAGCACTGGTATTTTATGGCTCCAAATTTTGCTGTCTTGTCTTCCTTTTTTCTTCTTCACTTCCTTTCTCCTTGACTTCTTCTATATATTTACTCATTTCTTCTTTTTTCTCCTACTCCATTTATTTCCTTTTCTTCCACCTTTCCTGGTTTACAAACTGTCCAGTGATCTGACTCTTGCCTTGTTCCCCTACTTGACTGCTTCTCACTTCAGTCCTTGTTCACCAACTCCAGCAATGCTAGTTTTCTCTCTGAAGTTTGAACATGTAAAATCTATTCCTGCCTCAAGGCCTTAGTTGTTTTCTACACCCAGAATGCTGTCTCTTTGATCACTGAGGAGCCAGAGTCT